TATATATATATATATATATATATATATATAAGAAAAATATGAAATCAAACTGACCACATATTTTTCATAGTTTAAATGAAATAGCACTATACCTTAAACCTTATATCTATCCCGAAGGATAAACACAATATTGAAGGATGAAACTTGATCAAATAAACTAAGAAATATATGACGCATGTTTGGTCTGCGAAACCATTTTTATTTTCCGACAAGTTCTCATATTTAATACAAAGAATTAAATAAGGTTTATATTAAGCTGGGTTCGGAAAAGCTTCATATAAGGGCAAGCCTCTATAGTTAATCACATCTTAGATAACTGAAGTCACAAAAAAAAACTTTCAATAAAAAGCAGGGAATATTATCTTCAAAAATGTCAAAAGGATATGACTTTTCAATGAGATCGGACAAAGATGTGTGAAAGGAAAATTGCTTAAATTTGGAACATCTTATTGTAGAATCCAAAAGAGGAAGAACTAAAGGATGTCATAGATTCGGAGGAGAACCTCAGTGACTTCCCAAGCTATCATATGGTTTGGCTTTAATTTAGAGGAGAAATTATTTGAATGTTTTATCCTGCCAATTTTATTAATTTAGAGATTACATTTATGTGAAACGATCACACAAATAGCATGGAAGATGTGAGAATTTAGGTCGTGAAGAACGACAACCTCGGAATCCTAAGACGAGTTAGGGCTTAGATTGTACAACATAGTTGTACAAAGGCCTAAAGATGAGGTGAGTATTTATGTTGCATAAGCAAACAACCCCGAAATCTTATGACTTTGTTGTTTAATTCTAAGGAATGAATTGTTTAGTTGGGGAAGACATGTTTTGCTGTTAAAGATGGTCATGCTGCCCACAATGCTAGCTTCAGGAAGCTCCAAGCTCCTCATCATGACAAGTTTAAGTTTTCTAATGTGTTAAGTTATAATGTCAAATTAAATGTCCTTATATTTACAGTTCTTTAAATATTATGGAACATATTAAAGTTGATAACAGCGATACCGATTAGGATCCTATTGTTCCCTCGTTCCAGTACCACTAATTTTATATTGGATTTACTTAGTCCAAATGAAATTACTAATCTCAACTTAATGAATTTCATACTTTCATTTAGACTGTGGGAAGCCTCGTTAGCAACCGTAGGTTACCTCCTCCGAGGGATTCCTGATCATCCGATAGAGACGTCTTAATTTAGTTACAATTATTGTTTGTGATTAAATTTTGAGTTTTTTTTTTATATTTTGAATGTTGTGGTTGTGAATTTTATCTTGGTTGATTTTAGTTTTGGTTTTGGTTTTGGTGGCTATCATAGCAGTTTTTGGTTCTCATGTAGGGTGACATCGTTGTTCAATATGCAAGTTTTATAAGGATAAAAGTACAGTGCAAAAAATATAAGAAAAGTCAATACTACAAATTGTAAAAGCATACCTCGCGAGTCTTCTCGTTCCACCACCTGAAAGGCCATTACTTGCAAGATATGTAGAAAATATTGCAGGAAAGTTTAAATTGAAGAGTATATGAAGGTTTAGCTATCAAACCCTATACTATGATTTTATTGGACCTTGGAAGATCCTAACGAATAATTTTAGAGCAAAATATGACAAATTCAATTTGCTCTTCAAAATATCCAGAACATTCAAGTTGTTGAGGGAATGACCCAGAACTACTTTGAGGCTCTTTTGAATTATTTTGAGTTCAATTTCAACTTATCATATTGTTTCATTAATCATCTGAGGTTGAAATGTGACTACCCCATTGCTCAGTGAAACTTGACAATTTGATTATCCCAAGGATTGGATACTCGACCAGTCAATTGATGTTTCATTTAAGAGTTATGTGAGTGAGTGTTGGGGCAAGTTTAGGTCATTTAAAGATAATGGTGCCTACAATTAAAGTCATACTTGTAGTGTTTGTTGATGTTGATTTCCAATCATATTATTTTCTAAATCCAATCATTAAGTTTAGATATTGAGCCCAAACCACTACCAGGCATGTAACAATCATAATGGGTGAAATGGAGGTCATTAAAGTTTTGATTTTAAATGATGTGCATTCTTAGCAAATAATCAAGTCATCCTCAACTTTGGGCTTAAGAGAAGTAAATCATCATCTTTCTGGCTTAAGCCCCTTACATAAGAATCATTTAATTTTGATTAACTTCCAAGTCCTGAAGATTAGGAGATTTATAATCTTGTTGACATTGTGCAAAGGTGGTGAGTGGATTTCTACCTTTTAATCTCATTGTGTTTCAATCATCCAAACATATTCATTAAGACCAAAATTACCCATTTTACCTTTGTTAATCCTAAATTTTTATTAAGGCACCAAAGTCTAAATTTACCACTTTGCCCTTGGGGCACTTCACCTCATAACTCATTAAACACAATTTAAATGACTTTGAGGGTTTAAAATGTCATATCCATGAGGTAATTATAATGTTAGAGGAGAACATGTGGACCTCTCAAAATTTTAATTTAATTTAGATAATTATTTAAATTTAGAAAATAGGATTTTCAAAAGTTGATTTATTTAGCTTTCCAAAATAAAATTTTTATTTGTGGAAAAAGTATTAGAGGTTTCCTAAGGTCAGAGAAACTCTTAGGCAAGATTTCATGATTTTATGAATTAAATTATTATTATTATTTAATTTTTAACCAATTTCAATGATTAAATTAAACATAAAGTAATATTTAATTACAAAAATCATTTATTATATTTTTAATAGACTTCCCTGAGTTCAAGAAACTCGAAGAATCAAATTTTGTATATTTTTTTTATTTTAATTTATTTAATGTAATTATTTTAGTGAGAAAATAGAAAAAATTCCTTTTAAGCCTCAAAAATTCATTTTTTGACTTAGGAAAATTAGGAAAAATGTCTTAATGAATTCTAAGTGACTGGGGAGCAATTAGGTACATTTTGAACATTTTTTTATATTTTTGAAAATTTTGATGATTTTAATTATTTTTAATTCAAAATACCATTTAAAAATGAAATATTCTCACAAAAAAATATTTTATTTTTATTAAATGCCCCTAATCAC